ACTTTACCTTCTGTTTTCCAAGCTATTTAGTGTCATTATGGTCAAGTTTTCAAGCTTTAGTAAAACCAGTGGTTCATCATAGATTTGTTTCAAAACCATGTGATTTAGCTGCTCACAACTGCAGAAGATTTCAGTTTCAGCATCTTTTTCACTTTGGTTTAGCACCTTGTCTGAAACCTTCCTTTTTAATGGGAGTTTTAACAGAAAAGATAGCAGGAGGCATACCCTTTCCAGAGACGTTTGGAAATGGGGTCTGAAGTAAGTGAGGACAATGAAAGTAATGAAAGTAAGTGAGGACGTGTCTTCAGTCATATCTCATTTTCACGTTGCTACAGGTTTGTTCTTTGTTACTAGCATCCACCTGCTCTGAGCTCCTTGTCTGTCCTAGTTTTCTCCCCTGTTAATTCTTCATGTCAGCCAAATACAGCTTTCCTGCCTTCCTTCAAAATGAGTTACTTCTGAGACCTTTGCCTTGGCTACGATTGCTTTAAAAAAAACAGTAGAATGTCCTCACTCACTGAAGAACCACAAAAGACAATCAACATGCAATGTCAAACATTTTCTGTTCAGCCTTTATTAGAAGCTGAATCTGGTTGCACACATCTGCCATTATTACAGTTTCAGACTACGGGGTATTTGTGGTTTTAAACATCAATCACTGTCTGTGCAATGGCCTAATCTGCACAAATGCTTTGTGTCACAGATAATTGATTTCTGTTCTGGTAACACCTTTTGCTGACTAAAATAATGTAGCTGATGTAGGTGATCTTTTTTTTTTCCTCTTTCCCAGAAAAAAAAAAATCAGAAATGTGTTTACATTTTCAGCATGTGCTGTACAGTGGTGTGGGTGACCCCCCTGCATGGGCAGGGACACCTCCCACTAGACCAGGTTGCTCAAAGCCCCATCCAGCCTGGCCTTGAACACTTCCAGGGAGGGGGCATCCACAGCTTCTCTGGGGAGCCTGTTACAGTGTCTTGCCACCCTCACAGTGAAGAATTTCTTCCTAATGGCTAGACTAAATCTATCCTCTTCCAGTTTAAAGCCATTACCCCTTGTCCTATTGCAACATGCCCTTCTAAAAAGTCTCCAGCTTTCTTGTAAGCCCCTTCAGGTACTGGATGCTGAGACTGAAAAAAACAAACAACTCTTCTGAAGCATACGAAAGAACTTAAATCTGCATATTACCTCCTTTAACTAAACCATGAGGTAGAAGGCAAGACCAAGTTCCAGGAGACAGTGTTTCCTGGGGCTTCTCATGTTTGCTTGCCAAAACTGATCCACATTTGCCACAGCCCTGCATTTTGTTAAAAGCCAAGCCTCGTTATATGCTTATCCTGCACCTTTAGACAGCCCTTTTGGTCACTGACATATGGAGGGCTAGAAGAAAATCTGAAATGCTCCAGTGCGGTCACCCATCAGTCTCAAGGTGTTGTGGGTGCACTTGAATTTCATGCCATTATACAGATTAATTGGGTAAAGTAACCAGCCTGAAACAGTAAAAACAGTTTTTAAATTTCTTTTTTATTCAATTTTCCTATTTTTGGTAGAGCTACATGCAAGCAAGTTGTTCCCCATCTCTCACACTCTCTTCTGTCCCTCAAGTGTCAAGAGACACAGATGGGAAAACCCAGGGAAGGAAAGTAGATACACACAGATGCTTGTCTAGACATCCCTTGAAGCTGGGTAGGAAGGAGGCCTTTATGTGTTGTTCAGTTTGCCCTATATGGCACATCTGAACTAGCCAGATGATTTCCAGCCCAGAGGCATCTTCTTCTACCTGAGAGCTGTGAACAGGACCTATGGTGACTGACTCGGGTGTGGGGAAACCACAGAGTGACCCTGAATGTGAGGAGAGGAATGTCTCTCCTTCTGTAGCCAAATGTCTGCAGGTCCTGCACAACCCTCTTTGGTGTGCATTCCTGTTCTGGGATCTCACTTTGCTCTACCTTGGCTCTGCCTACCATCTTCAAATCCTCAGCAGCTTATGGCTTTTATTATGTTTTTGCCAGATAGTTTTTTCACCAATAATTTTAATTTTAAGAATTCTAAGCAGTTTTTTCATGTGCACTTGGGTGGGTGTGGGTAATGATCCACATTCAGAGACCTCAAGCATTTACTTAATGTTAATTCCCAGAATAGCTATCATCCCTTAGGACTTACTGAGTGTGGCAAATATTCAGGTCATAATTTTTTGTGCTATGAGTATCTAAGTATGATTTCTAACCTTAGATGTTCAGAGGAACTGCATGACCCAATCAATGCCTTTGCTTAGCATGCTGTTGGGAATGGTTTGCTCATCAGCCCACAGCAGTTAATGGTGTTTGCAGGGGACACCATGCCCAGGGACAGCAAGAGAGCAAATCAGCCCTTCATGATTCATCCCTCTGGGGTCAGACTAATGTCTGCATGACTTTTCTGCACTGTCACCACTGTTTTTCTCCACACCAAAGGGCAGACTGCTTAATCAATTCCCAGGATTTTCAGCTGCTGTGCCTTGCCAGGCTGGGTTTCTCAATCAGGTTTTACAGCAGACAACCCCACAGTACCACCACCACCCTAAGACATTTCTGTCCGTAATTTTTCTTGCAAAGCCAAATACAGCCATGGTATGCTGTGGTGGGGGAAGCTCAACCCAACCATGGACCTGCACCTGCTTCACTGGCACAGCACCAGCAGAGGGGTCTGGGAGGGTGAGACATGAGCAGCAAGTGGTTCTCCATAGGAGCCTGTCCCTCTGGAATATCTGCGTGCCCCCTTACGCTCTATCTTACACACATCAACATGTGGCTTTGCAGAAGGAAAAGCCTTTTGGTGAATGCTCATGGCTCTGTGAGAGCTCTGCCCTGGAAGGATGTTGACTCCAGCAGCCTACTTGCAGTCCCTGCAGATGATTTCCTACCATGTTAATTAGGGCTAGCCTGTTTCAGCATGGCTTTGCTTTCATTCTTTCTCTCAATGAGATGCTCCTGGAGTCCCCATTACCCAGTTAATGCACATAGCTATTGCACCAGTTCTTGCAAGGCTGTATTATTGTGATTGCTCTGCGCTTAACCCTTCCAAATTCACCTGGGTAACACCATCAAAGCTTCCTCAGCAAAGGCCAGGCTGGATGGAGCTTCGAGCAACCTGGTCTAGTGGGAGGTGTCCCTGTCCACACAGGGAGGTTGGAACTAGACAATCTTTAAGGTCTCTTCCAACCCACACCATTCTATGATCTTTGAAAGACCTTCAGAAGGTCAGCTCATTGTTCATACCACAACTAATATCCTACCTGATTCAAGTCACATCATTGAGCCTATTGTAAGTGGAAGATAATGAAATTCTATGAATGACTAATTTTTACCCTCTTGGATAAACTTACTCAACACAAAAGCATATTTGGAGAAATCTCTAAGCAGATGTGTTTCTCTGCCATTTTTTCTCTTCTTGCAGCACAACTCTGCACATTTGTACTTTTCTGCCAAGCTCTGAGCACAGCTTGCTGCCACTGCAGACCTCTGTACCCATTTTGTTCACAGCAACTTTTTATTAGGCTCTCACTCAGCTGAAACAGGGAAGCACTTGAGGTGCTGTACTGAGCATTAAAAACCCCTCAAGAGAATGCAGCCACATTTGACTAAAAACCAGGAGCTTCTCCTGTGTCTGGCCAGACATAGCAGAGTCTATTTCAGGGATAGGTCAGGACCAGGGGGACATGTGTCATGCTTTTAGTATTGCAGAGGCTCCTCCTGAGCATGGCCCTGGGACCAGCTCATGGGAATGCCAGTTGCCAGTGAGAGTGCCCAGTGTCCAGTTCTGGACCCCCCACCAGAGGAAGGACATGGAGCTGTTGGAGCAAGTCCAGAGGAGGCCACAAAGATGACCAGAGGGCTGGAGCAGCTCTCCTATGAAGACAGGCCGAGAGAGTTGAGTTTGCTCAGCCTGGAGAAGAGAAGGCTCCAAAGATACCACACAGTGGCCTTCCAGTATCTGAAGGGGGCCTACAGGAAATCTGGGGAGGGATTTTTGTAAGAGTATGTAGCAATAGGATGAAGGTGAATAGTTTTAAACCTGATGAGGGTGGATTTAGGTTAGGCATCAGGAAGAAATTCTTTAGTGTGTGGGTGATGAGACACTGGAATAGGTTGCCCAGGAAGGTTGTGGCTGCCCCATCCGTGGAAACATTCAAAGCCAGGCTGGATGGGGCTTGAAGCAACCTGGTCTAGTGGGAGGTGTACCTGCCCATGCAGGGGAGTTGGAAGTAGATGATCTTTAAGGTCCCTCCCAGCCCACACCATTCTATGATTCTATGACTCGGCTGCATGTTGCATCAGCAGACAGGGCCCCTGTTGAGTTTGGTAGGGTACTAGGTGGGTGCCTGCCCTTCCTGAGCTACTCCCTGCCCTGCTGGTAGCAACACCAAGGGATTGGCAGCACCAGAGACATGGTGATGCAGGGAGCAGGAGGTGTCTGAATCAGACCAGCTCTCTGGTCAGCTAACAAGGGTACCTTTCCCTGTATCTCAAGGCGTAAAAAATGAAAGCCCAAACCCACAGCTATATAAAGGGAAACACTGACTATTTTCAGTATTCAGAATGGTGAGTGACCCACGTGAAGCAGCTTATCAGCTCACAAATGCAAACAATCTCTTGCCAAGTGCGCAGCATGACTAGCACAAAGAGCCACGTTTGTTTCGGAAGTGTTAGTTGCTAATCTCTCCTTGTTCAGTTGCTAAGATGCCAAATTTCCTGGGAAACAGATAACTTTAAAATAAAGATAGCAGAGACCTCATGAATTGTGTCTCAGTTCTTTTATTACAATGAAAAACTGCACAGTACTAGCCTACTGAAAAGAGTAAAAGCTGCAAGTAACTTTTCATGAGAAAGGAGTTGATCCAAGGTAAAAATGACCTAGAAATCGTAGCTGTTGCAAACTCTGAAGTCTGAGTTGGGACTTCTGCCTGTTGTTTCCCATTGGAGTAGTTTCAAAGATCGCAAGGTTCTTAATGGCAGTTTCTCCTTTAACAAGCTGGGAAGAGAAAGAGGAGAAGCAGGATAAGGGATATGTATTTTCCACAAATCGTTTTACACAGGATGCTGGTCTTGCTAGATGCAAGACATCAAAAAGGCAATTTTTTTAGCAATTGCTCTCTTCTTCCATCCATATACATATCTCCTAACTCTAATTCAGATTGGTAAAACTCAATTATGGTGAATCCTTTCCAGGACAAAGTACTCTGTGGGGTGGGTTGGAATTGATGGGGTTAGCAACACCCACCCTTCTGTGCACAAAGCTGATCTTTTGAGGATTTAGCCACCTTCCCCTTGTTGATGCCCTGGTTGAGGAAGCTCTGCACCAGGCAAGGGGGAGACCCTGTCCTCTACCTCCTTCAAGCATGGTCTCTCCCCATGCTGGTCTGGCAGAGCACACTGAGCACAGGCCAGGGGCCATGGTGTGTCCACAGGGGGATGATGCTTCATGCAGGACCTTACCTTCCTCCACCACGCGCCGGTAGAAGCACCAGGGGACCCCAGCAGGACGTGGCCTGAAGCAGCAACCTTTCCTCTCACACTCCTTAGCTGTGATGCCAGGGAAGCCGCAGTTTATCCTAGAGTAAGGGTCGTTGGGACACACTTTCTTCACTGCATAAAGCAAAAACAAAGGAAGGAAGGAGGGCAGAAGGCCATGTTACTTTATGCTTTGTTTACCTGGCAGCACAATTCACAAATTAGAAGAGTGAGGTCAGTGAGCAGATGTGACAGCCACAATGACTTTATACATAGCAGTTTCAGGCAGCAGGTTCACCCAAATCCTTACCATGCCTGATAGGTAAAACTAAATAAAAAGGGGTGAAGAATTGCTGCAGTGTCCCAGGGGCCAGAGGGGGCAACGTTCATGCCTAGAAGTGTCTGGTAGGCAGTGACCCAGCTTTACCTTTCCTCAGCTGTGGGATGAAAAGCCATATGTCTCCAGTAATGGCACCACAGACACCAGGGTATGTTCATGACCTGATCCAGTACTAACCCCAGGGCACTCTGGCTAATGGAAAGAGATGAAAACCCTGCCCCCTCTGCATGCCAACTTGAGCTACAGGAAGGGGTAGGTGATCCAGGAAGAAATCACAGCTCATCCAGGCAATATAAAGTAAAATAAAAAGTAATCAGTTTTCCTTTCATCAACCAGATCTTCTCTGAACAGCAGTTCTGTGAAAATGACACTGCAAGGTGTTGGCATTTGTTTTTTAAGACTTTAATGAAATGAAAACAGTGTTCAAAAGCAAAGTAATTTTTTTCCTCCAACAATTCTGAGCCCTGTTCACTAATCTTGATTCATATCTAGTTCTTATATTGGGTAACATTGCCTTTGCACCCTCACTTCCTTTCCTTTCACCTGCACAATACTGAGATTGCCCTGAGGTTTTCCTAAGAAGGGGTCATGCAGACACCTCAGCAAATATAGTTTAACATTCAGCAGTTATGTAAATATACTCCCAGTCCATGAAGGACTTGGAGAGCATCTCTTACCTTCTCTGAGAAAATAAACGCAAAAAATGGAAGCAGGACCTTAGTAGTTTTAGAAGGAAAAATCAAATGGAGAAGAGGATTTCTCCTGGGATATTTTGGACATTTTACTGAGTGAAAGACTAGGAGTAAAAATGGGAGAGAAAAAAAGAACCACAAGTGGAATTATGCTGGAAATGGGCAGGAAAGGAATGAAGTAGCAGTTATCAAAACATGCTGGAGAAAAGAGAAAAAAAGCACAGAAATTAGATGGTGCCTGTGGTCCTTTGTACAGGTGTCAAACAACTAACTACACAGGGCCTTAGACATGCGGAGCAAAAGTTCTCATCAGCCACGTGGAAAACGTGTTTAAATGAGTGCTGCTAATCCCTTGCTCTACTGATGAACAAGACCACAAATGGCAGTGAAAAGTTTTTAAATAATCAGCACAGATTATTTGATAACTAGAAGCTTGAAGGAAGAGGAAATAAATTGTGTGAGAAGGACGAGACAAAAGGCTGAAGGGTAAGCAAGGTCTGACTTTCTGTTTTACTGTGAGTGGTCTTCTAATAGAGATTTGTGCCCACTTTGCTGGCCTAAGAAGAAAAACAGTGCTGCTCCCCATTTGTGCACTTTTCTGCATAATTAAACACTAGGTAGATCAGTGTTTCTGGCAGAGACATTTACCTTTCTTTGGCTTAGGGGCAAAGCACCAGGGAACGCCGGGGACTGAAGCGTTGAAGCAGCACCCAACTTTCTTGCACTCCACTGCTGAGATTCCTGGGTACCCGCAGTTCCTCCGCTCCCTGGGGGCCATTTTGCACTGGCATCTTGCTGTTCAGGACAGAAGTAGGAAGTTACTGGGTGCTGGTTTGCATGCTCGTTGGCAGAGGTGCTTTTATCAGATGTCCACTGGGAACAATGATCTGTCCCTAGACTCTACCCTTCTTTGCAAAGGTACCTTTTCCGTGGCTTCCTAAGACCAGAACCTGTGTGGTTAAGAAGCTGCTATTGAACTCCCACCGATATCAGTGAGGGTTTGTACCACACACTTCTGAGAATCTGTGGCCTCACCTGCAGCCCATCCAGCCCAGCACAGTGGGGCCTGTGGACTTCTAATAAACGACATCAAATGGTAAGACCCCATACCTTCAAATGTAAATCTAGTAAATTTACCTAGTAAATCGTTGTAGCTTTGCACATCTCATGTGAAGAAAGAAAGAGCTAAGGGCGCAGTGGGTATTCAAACAGGTGTGAAGATACAAAATCTTTGCATTCTCATTAGGTGATTATATAAACATAGGATTTCGTACAAATAGTTGCAGCTGTACTTTCAACACTTAAAGTCTACAGCACAGTCATCTGCAATCAAGAAATTCTGTAGGTGTCCCAAGGAGCCTGTCATTCACTTACTTGCCTTCCACTTCTTAAGTTGTATGAATGGCCTGTCTTTTACTGAGGAGGCAGAAAGACTCATTTAAATTGAGTATTCACATGGTAAAGTAGGGTAAAATAAATTTCAGAAGACTATTTAGACACAGCTTTCTCCTGTTCCAATACTGGTCCTGTCCTAATGAGCTCCTGGGCATGTCTGTCCCTCTGCCTTTGTAGCAGGTTCCTGGTTATGCATAGATTTCTCAAAAAAAAATTAAAAAGTAGATTCCAACTTTGGTAATAGTACCAGAGCAAGATGTTCGCTGTTTGATAAGTCAACTGAAGACAAGTTCTTGCTGCAGTTACACTCGGTAGGATCAGGCTTGCATACATACCTGTGAAGGCAACAGCAGATGAATGTACTTACATGGTGGTGCCTTTCCCTCTGCCAGTGTGCTGAGGGCTATGACAAGGATGATGGAGAGCACAGAGATCGCTTTGAGATCCATTGCTCTTGAAAGGTGGGTGGAGAAGACGTGCTGCTCTCCCTGGGAACAGCTCATTTTATACTCTCCTCCTGTTTGCATGGTGAGGTCTGATAACATTGTTCCATCTGATGCTTCACCCAGAGGTTGGGTTTTCTTTTGTTTAATTAGGAAATGTTGCCATGCATATTTTGATATCCCTGAGATAAATTTCTATGCTCCCGTGAGCTATTGATCACATATCTATTACGTACTTACAGATACACATCTATTACATCATCCCATAATCTAATAAATGGATGCTGTTGGCAGCCCTTGATGATTTCATTGCCATTAGAGTATTTCAGACCTCTGGGCAGCTTGAAATGGTTACGACTACTGAAAAATATGTATATGTGTTCCTATGCAAGTGTAACTTTTTCTGACTCAGTTTTTCTCTGGCCTTAAGGTTTTGGTTATGCTTACTTTGATATGGGTAAGGCAGGAGGGCTGGAGGTGTGACACCTGCAAGCTTTAGGAGACCCTAGGGCAAACTGTGCACCTGAAGAAATACAAAAACACAGAAAGTGGAAGGTGTGACTGTGAAATACTGAGCTTGGCTGAGGTTGCTGCTCCTTTCTACACACGAGGCAATTTGCTCGAGTTTGGAATAGGAAACAAAGGTGAGATCAGGAAAAGAAAATGCAACACAATGCCAAAGAATCCCAAGAGGGGCAACAGCATAAAGAGTTTCAAGACAAGAAAGGAGTTTATATATGATCTCCTGGCCCACAGGTACTGTGCTCACCTAGGGGTCAGACCCAATGCCCCAGCAAATACTTTGGAGTTGCTGTTCTGCACAAGGAAGAAGGACAGACTCCTGGAGCAGACCCCCTTGCAGCCTGTGGGTTCTGTTTCCAGAGTGGCATATGGCTTTGCAACACCAGGGGCACATCATTTGCCAAAACCAAACTTCTGAAGCACCACATTTGACCTATTAATTTCCCAATTGCTTTTCTCTTGGTTTCAAAGATGGCCTCTAAGGCAGCATTTTGGTTGCTTCACAACAGCAGACCCTGGGACTCGGACAGCTTGGTCAAGCTTTACTCTCCCTTTTGGACATTTTTCTACTATTTACTGTAACATTTCCTAAATTTTTGCTACTTCCCACACTTGAATAGAAGAATGGCAGCACCAGGGAGGAGAAGACAAGCAGTGGGGTGGTGAGACCATCTCTGTATGTCCCTCAAAGGAAGGACCTGCAGCTCGGGCAGGCCCAGCTTCAGCCCTCATGGTGATCTGCAGAGTCCCTTTGCCCATGGGCAATCCACCAGGGAGTTCTTACTGTTCATTGCCAAAAAAGACATACAGTGCATTTTTTTATCTTTGACAGAATTGTGTCTTAATGGCTTTGATTATTATATACAAGTTTGTTATGTCCCTCTTTCCTTGACAAAGTTCAAAGTGAGAACTTTTACTTTCTCTAGTTGTGTTTCGAAGCTAATTTATTTGTTAAAAAGTATTTTGAATCCTGTGGGGAGGATTTTGGTCTACAAGAGAAAAAATAGAGCTAATTTTCCTGCTGTCTAACTTATTTAATGTTTTATGGACTTTATTTATGCCCATCCCTATTTTATAAATTTATGACACTTGTCATGGAAAGTCAGGATTCCTAAACCAGACAATTTGTGTATCCCTCATTTCACAAGATACTAAGCTGCAGGTAGAAGAGGCCTGTGTTCCAGCACTCAGCAGTTCATATCTCATCTTTCACCTCCATCACTGGAAGAAAATGTCAGACATAAAAATCCAGTTTGCTCCTTATGTGCAAAGTCAACATTGCTCCCAAATGCCCATGGGGGTGCCTGGTCCAGCGAAGTCATTCATCATCTTCCCATCAGCTTCTCATGATGCAGGGGGTGAGTTCAGCTAAAATGTTGGCCATGCATGAGAGGAAAACTACCATCCCAAGAGGGGGAATGAGCTGCTTTCAGGCTTCCATGGAGTTCCCAATAGATTATCGTTCCATCACGTGAGTCAGGTGAAACTGCTGATAACATTCGTCCCTCCTGCTTCTTACTGGACATTAATTAAGTCCTTATCTGTTGGCTGTCACCTCTTGGGCCCGATTCCAACTTCATGCACAAAGGCAAATCTACCCCTGAGTTTTTGCTGCGGAAAGAGCGTTTGATTGGCATCTTAAGACAAACATGCTGAAAAGAAATAAGCTTCTTTCTTGCTGCCAGCAGATTACTTTAAGATCTTTATTATGTTTATATAGCAAAGCCTTTCAAATTATCTGGGGTTTCCCTGTACAAGTATTTTTTTTCCTGAGGCTGGCATCTACCTAGACCTTTTAGTAGCCCTTTAGGGTACCCAGACTCTGCAAGTGCCCATGGCCAGAAGGGGCTTGGAAGGCTATTCCTTCCTCTCCAGCATCCGCGTCCTCCCCCATGACCCTTCTCTGGTCCTACAGGGCTTTTAGCTGAACTGTGGCCTTCTCACTTCCTTCCCAGCAAGAAAATGAGAAATCACCATGGCTGGTATGGACCTCCTTGCTCACATTCAGTCACAGGCTGCAACTTTTTTTTCTGATCTTGCAGAACTTTTAAAGGATTTAGATACTTTTTTTTTCTTTTTTCACTCGAAAAACAATCAACAAACAGTGCAGCTTAAACATGGGGAGTGTATTTTCCTAAAGGGAATTTGCTTCTGTGGTAACTGCTAGTATGAGTGATGACCTGAAAAATTGGTCCTTGGGCCAACACCACTCCATGTGAGCCCACAAAATAAATCCCAAGTTTTGAGTGCTCCCTAAAATACATCATCATAAAGGAGAGAGAAAAAACCCCAACAAGACAAAAAAAATAACAAACCACCAAACAGATAAAAACAAAGGGGAGAGTATTCAGCAACTTTGCTCCTTCCATCTGTGTGAGGGGTGTTAAGCAGGAGGAGAGACTCAGGCACAGGGATAGCACCACTTAGATGAGCTTCACTGCATGCCACTCATTCACAGCAACACTGGTTTCTATGTGTTTCTAGAAACCATAGAAGTGAGCAATACTCACCTTCCTTATCATTAGGCCATTTGCCTTGTTCCCACAGCCACTGGTGCCCAGCTGTATCTCCCTTCCTCCATCCCATCTGCAGGTGCCCACAGGGTGGTGTGGGGTACAGGCAGGGCAGGTGCTGACTCTCCCTCACTGTATGGCCTGTAAGACCATGATGTTTAAAGGGTGTATTTTTCAGAATGTGCTTCCATGGGGCCCATAGGACCTTGCTGTGGGGCTCCTCTGCCTTGAAGGTTTATATGGGTGGTTTGAGTATGGAGGTTTCCATGCTCACCCCTCAGAGGCAGGGGGACATATCTCAACATGGGTCTCTGTGCTGAGCCCACAGAGGCTGAGAGCAGCACTGGGGGCTGACTTGACCCTGCCCTTTACAGCCCTGTGGGCAGGTGTATCTCAGTGTGCAGGTCTGGATGAGGTGCGGTGGAATTAGGAATGTGGGTCTCTTCCAGCTACTGCACTGCAGATCCTTGTGTTTTCAATAGGCATGTTCCCAAGGGCCACTTGTCCTTGCAAGGCACGGTATTGCAATGAGATTCCTTGTTGCTCTTGTTAACACCAAGAAAATGTTAAATTAAGTGGAGGGATGGATTTGGAGCTGCAGGTTTTGCATGCAGCAGGGATCCTGGGCTGATGGCAGAAATCATTCCAGTCTTCTCCAAAGCCTGGTGTAAATTAGTTACCTGGAGGCTGAAAATCTTGTGATACAAACTGTAAGTGACGTTGCAATTGCTAGTGTTTCTTCCTGTTCTGAGCCTGTACTCTTTTATTTCTGTGCCAAACAGATACGGGAATGGGAATTTCAAGAGGCCAGAAAGGTTGTTGGGATTGTGCAGATCTTGCATTTGAACAGAAGTAAAATCACCAGGAAAAGGTTCCCAGTAACATTTGCAGCTCAGTGCCTAGAATAAGCATCATGGTCTCAGATTTACATTTGGCTTCTCTAGCAGAGGTTATTCTGTATCCCACACAGGAATTCCCCATATTTTTGAAGCTTAAAATTCAATATTTTGAGTTTGTGGGTGAGGTGTCAAACCACATTATTTTTAGATATAGGCCTGTTGCAAAACATGCTCAAAAATTTTGTTTCCCACAAAGCTTGCAGCTGTGCTGGGAAGCTTAAAAATACCACCCCTGGAACTGCACAGCCAGACCTAACTGTAGTGCAAGAGACTCTAAAGCTTGAAAGAGACCATGTTGTTAAACAGAGGCTGAAATATGAGACACGTGAGATTTTGGACAATTTTAAACACTCATTTATATTTGTAAGCCCCTGGAGTCCAAACAAAAGTTTTGTAATTCTGCAGTTGCATGGTTGCTAACCAGCTTACTTTTGCAAGCCACACTACAAAGGAACCTGTTGCATAAAAGCATCAGCCATCAGGCAGGGGTAAGAGATGTGTCACCAGGGAAACAGGGGAGGCACTGAGTCAGGAGGAATCAAATATGAAGAGGAACTTGGTGACCCTCACATACACCGAAGTTCAGATGCAGGTAACTGCAGCAGGCAGTGTCTCACCACACTCACAAAAGTACTCACAAAAATATGAAGGATAAGAAAATACTAAATGATCTCCGATGACTTGTTGTATAAGGTGTGCTGATCCATGTGTTGGAAGCAGTGGGAAAAGCCTGGCATTTCTGGTGTAAATGGGGGATAGGTTGTTGGCCTCCCACATATTTTAGCTAGGTGAGTTGGCACACAAAAGCTCACAATTCAGGATGTTATCTGACTATAACACTGTGTTAAAAAAATAGAGAAAACTCTGCATTTAATTCTGGCAATGGCCAGTTCAAAGGAACCACTGAGATCCATCACTCCAATAAAAATGCCTGTCTCAGAGGCACTAACATCAGTATCAAAACCAACTTTAACCTGGTGTGTACAGACTCCTCCAGGGGACTTTTGTAAAATAATATGTCATTTCTATAACCAGAAGCACTGCTGGAGGAGGGCTTTTGTCACATTTTTGT